TCATTTCCAGCGGTAGACTCCACAAGTCGATCTATATGCGGGAGCGGGAAACTATCTTTGGGACATGCTTTATTCAAGTCTGTAAAATCGATGCAAACCCTATCTTTCCCATTCTTTTTCTTGACAACGACAGTGTTTGCTATCCATTCCGGGTATTGCACTTCTCTTATGGATCCTATCTTCAAAAGTTTATCTACTTCGTCATTTACTATTTTGGCTCGCTCCACTCCGTGTTTTCTTCTTTTTTGTTTCACCGGTTTGAAGCTTGGATCTACGTTTAGTTCATGACAAATTACACTCGGATTTATGCCAGGCATGTCCGCTGCTGACCATGCAAATGATGCTTTGTTTTTCCTTAAGAGTTCGATCAAAGCTTCTTTTATTTGACCAGTCAAAGTTGCTCCAATTCGAACTTTCCGATCTGGTTTGTCTTCTTCCAATACCACTTCGACTACCACATCCTCTTTTTCCTGCCCACTAGGAAATTTTTGCCTTAGTCCTTCTTTTGCGGGCTTTGTTAATTGCTATTGGATCTTCAAACGGTGGCTAGCTAAGTAACACGTCCGTGAAGCTTCTTGATCTCCCCGAATTGTTTCCACCCCATTTGATGTTGGAAATTTGATACACTGATGATATGTAGAGGGGACTGCTTTCATTTGATAGATCCAAGGAGTACCAAGGATGATGTTGTAAGCTGCGGGCTTATCGAAGACAACGAAGTCCACGATCTTTGATACTTTTTTGGCAAGGACCGGTAGCTTGATTGTCCCGAGAGACATGGCTGATTCACTTGTGAATGCAACTAATGGGGACGGAGGCCCCACTATGTCCGCTCGGCTGATTCCCATTCTTTCTAAAGTACTTAAAAAGATCAAGTCGACCGAACTGCCTGTATCTATAAGGATCCTTGATACTTCGAAGTTGGCAACGTCGAGGGTAATGACTAGAGCGTCATCATGAGGTCTTTCGAGGTACCGCGTTTCTTCTTCACTAAATGATATTGATGCACCTTGAAAATCAACTTCCTCGCTTAAGCTTGCTTTGAGTAGGATATTTCGTCTATGTTTCTTGATGGAACTTATCGAATCTCCGAAAAATCTAGAACCTCCTAGAATCACATTGATCTTACCCTTCGAACTCCTTGGTTCTTCTTCGTTGGATAACCTTGGTCTTTTGGAATCTTGATCTTTGGAGTTTTCTTTTGCTTCGTGGTATTCCTTCACAAAATCTTTTATATCGAATTTGGAAAGATCTCCACTGGCCCAAAGCTCTGCGAGGTGCCTTTTAAGAACGCTGCAATCCTTGGTTAAATGTCCGGTTACTTTATGAATGTCGCAATATAGACTTTCATCACGGATCCAAGTGTTTGATCTTCCTTTCCCTTGGAATTGCTTTCCGACGGTATTGTTGAAGGGTTGCGACCCAAACTTCCTTGGTCCTTTGCTCTCCCTAGGCTCGAACTTCTTGGTAGGGATGGTGATTGCCGGCTTTTCTTGCTTATTTCTTTTGGCAAAACTTTCTTTTTCGTCCTCTACCTCCATCCAGTTGTTCGCGCGGAAGAGTGCATCCTGAATTGTGTCTGGTTTATGAAGTATTAAGTCTTCTTTAAACCTTGAATCGTGTCGCAATCCTTTTCGTAGGGCAGATAAAGCTGATTGCTGCGAGATTCTTGGGAGTTTTGACAGCACTCCTTTGAATTTGGTGATGAAGACTCGAAGTGACTCATTAGATCCTTGCGTTAAGTTCCAAAGATCGGCATCCGAAACGCTTTTATCCATAAGGATGGAGTATTGCTTTAAGAATACGGCTGATAATTCGTCGAAATTGCTGATCGAACCCGGCTCTAATTGGGTGAACCACATTAGAGCTTGGCCACATAGATTCTCCGAAAACAGCTTGCAATAGCCTGCGTCTTCATCAGCTTCATCCAATTCGACTCTTCCAGCAGCGATCAGAAAAGCTGCGAGATAGCTTTTTGGATCCTCCAATCCGCTGTAAGGGTCCAACTTGAGTTTCCGGGAATCTTTGATCCTCAAACTTGCAATTCGCGAGATGAAAGGTGTTCGCCTAGCTTCTTCAATGACTCGACTGATGTCTGGCTCTGAGCTTGTAGCTTGATGAAATTTTGATTTCATTTCTTTTAATTCCTGGCTAACCTTCCTCATGGTCTCGAACTGGTCGAGGTTCTCCTGCTCGTACTGAGCTGCGAGTTGTTCTTCATCCTCAAGCTGTGTATCTTCTTCCAACGTCTGGGCTACATTGTTAGTAGCGCCGGGAGTTGTTTGTCCGCTGGTTTCATTTCGTGCAACGGAACTTGGCGAGTTGAATATCCCTCTTCGGATTCCCGCAAGGTTTCCTGCACTTAAAGAACGAACACGAGTTTGTATAGTATTGACGTTTTGGCTAAGAGATACCTGGGATGTTTGCAACGTATCAACGGTCTTTTCCACATCCGAGAACTTTTGTGATATGTCCGACATGGTTTGCTGCATAGCTTTGAGGGTTTCAGCCAATGATGTCTCAACGGCGTCTCCTCCGGACATTGTTGCTTATCTCGGAAATGTGATAAAGGAAAAATCTGACCACTCAAGAATCCTAATCTGTCCCCACAGACGGCGCCAAAATGTGGATGTCGGATTCACACACTCAAGTATTTTATTAAGTGGGAAAGATTATTCTTGAGAGACAAAAATGAATGTGTAAAAGCTTGTGAATTGTTACAAAAATTGCTATAATATTTCTTTCTTGAGAGGAAGATCCCCTTTACATAGCCATTGGCCTTTATATTTATACATAGAGAAACGACATTAAAATGAGTAATTAAGTACAATTATTCCTTCTTAAATGTGTCCGTTTTGATTCCTTGACTTTAATGCTCAACGTTTGAAATTGAGTTGACTCTGATCTTCGTGGGCCTCGCCTTTTCGGCCCAAGTGTCCTTGAACCGTCTTACCCGTGTCTTCCACATCGAACTCATGTCACAATGCAGTCACCTCGGACTCTCGAAGTGGTGACAACCACTTCGACCGTTCCTTCAGCTCATGGGTCCGATGGGCTTCATCCTTTATGGGCCCTTTATCTTGACTACGTGGCAATCTTTGGTTGGTCTCGTACTTCTGGTGCGGGATCCGACACCAACATGCGAGAAGTTTTCTCAACGGTGTGATAAATGCCAGAGGCACGCACCAACCATTCATCAACCCGCCGAGCTCCTCTCTTCCATCACTTCGCCTTATCCATTCATGCGATGGTCCAAGGACATCATCGGACCTCTACACAACTCCAAGCAGAAGAAACTCGTCCTCGTACTAACAGACTACTTCTCCAAATGGATCGAGGCGGACTCCTATGCCAGCATCAAAGACGCACAGGTCGAGAACTTCGTCTGGAAGAACATCATATGCCGCCACGGGATACCTTACGAGATCGTTACAAACAACAGATCGTAATTTATTTCGGCTCGGTTTGAAGGATTCTGCAAGAAATGGGGAATTCGCCTCAGCAAGTCTACGCCTCGGTATCCTCAGGGAAACGGACAGGCGGAAGCAGCAAACAAAACGATTCTCGACGGAATAAAAAAGAGCCTCGACGCGAAGAAAGGCCGCTGGGCCGATGAATTGGAAGAAGTACTATGGTCGCACAGAACAACGCCGCGGCGGGCCATGGGAGAAACACCTTTCGCCCTCGTTTACGGTACGGAGTGTGTGATTCCCACCGAAACCGAGATCCTGGGACTAAGAAGACGTTTTCTCCCCGAGCAGGAAAATTCCAACACTCAGATGATGCTGGACGAGCTGGACTTAATTGACGAAAGAAGAGATTCGGCTTTGGTCCGAATGCAGAACTATCAGAATGCTACAGCTCGGTACTATAATTCTCACGTTAAACATCGCCGCTTCCACGAAGGAGATCTCGTACTGCGCAAAGTTTTCCAGAATACTGCCGAACAGAACGCAGGTAAGCTCGGCGCAAATTGGGAAGGACCTTACACGATCGCAAAGGTGATCCGTCCCGGCATCTACGAACTCATTAACATGAACGGTTAAGCGGTACCTAGATCCTGGAACGCAATGCATCTAAGGAAATATTATCGCTAAGAACCTAAGGTACGCATGTACTTGAACTACGGGGTGGCTTGATCCCTGAAAAGGGTACGTAGGCAGCTCGTCCTCGGACGAGTTCAGCTACCCCCCCTAATTAAAAAAGGGGGGGAGTGGGTCCGTATACATATACTCCCACAAAAATTTTATAAATTCTAAGTTTACCCTTCGGGTTTTCAATTCAAATCCACCTCGACATCTTTCCCAAAACTCATCTCGGGAACTTTTACGGTCCTTTTATCGACCCACAAAGCCGACAGTTCGTTCGGACGATGGCCACGTCCACGAACGGAGAGCTCATTTCACCGCTTCGGTTATAGCGCGCTATATAAGCATTCGAGACAATTCGGTCGGAGATATCTTGCCATCAAGAAATTGTCTTCAGAAAACCCAGTTGACTTTGACACTGGTACCCTAGTTCGCTTCTAAGCACTGGCAATCGACTATATCAGCTCGGGTCGCAACCGAAAAAGATATTAGTCCCACTTACCAAAACCCAGTTTCCTTAACACTGGTACACGATTCGCTTGGTTGTCTCGGAAACTAAAACAGTGGAAGTTTGACTCCTACTTGACCGAAAACCGCTGAGTTATACGTACTAAAACCCAGCTGGTGCCCCAGTTCGTACTAAACACTGGATTTAAGATGGTTCGAAAAGTTAAACTCCGAGACTAGAAATTTTTTGAGAAACCAAAAAGTACATTCATTTTCAATGGATAAAGCCGTCCATGCATCAAGTCTTATAAAGATTCAAAATAAAAAGAAAGGAGTACGCCGCGGGTCTAATTATCCTACTCCTCCGGGTCACGTGCGGCTTTGGAACTCAGATTCGTGCCCGCCTGATCCATGATGCCAATCCCCGCGGCAACTCCCTCGATTGATCTGTTTCCAAAATTATCTTCAACAGAATCTGGAGAAGCCGGAGGAAGACTCAGATCCTCCCGCAGCATCCCCATACTCCGCTTTCCACTGGAGTACTTCCTCCTTTTCATCTTCGAGATTTTTGCTGCCTTCAAGATCGGCAATCAGCTCGGCATTGGCCCTAGCCTGCACTTGAAACATGTAGCGCTCAGACGCCTTCCCGTACAGGTCCATCTTCGCCTCTATCGCCTCGATCCTCTTGGCGAACTCCTTCTTAGCCGCTTTTCTCTCCCGAGCTACTTCCTTCTCCCGAAGAGACTTCTCCTCGGTGAATAGCCGGTTCAAGCATTTGATTTCAGCCTCGAACTTCCGTTGAAGGCGAAAACCATCCTCGGCCGTCTTCAACCGCTCGACCTTCTCTGCTTTGGCCAACGCCTCGGCATTCTGCCTGGCCTCATCCGCCTCGGCAATCTTGGCCGCCGCCTCGGCAATCTTGGCCGCCGCCTCGGCAATCTTTGCATCTGCCTCGACAATCCTGGCATCGGTCTCAGCAATCTTGACCTCCGCCTCGGCTCGGGAAGTCTCGCATTTCCGGTTCGAAGAATCGTAGGCTCGAACCATGGAGTTCATCGAATGGAAAGCCTGGGACGCAAAAACGTAAGTTGTTAGTACCAAGAATTCTAAATTCTAAAAGGCCTAAGATGCCTCGGAGATGAACCAGTACCTTCAAAAACTTGCAGCAGTTTTGCGGTAACTTTCAGCCTCCAGCAAGGCCTCGGGCGCAACTAGGGTCGGACCCAAGCAAGAAGCGATAAGATTAGCAGAGGCTATTGTAACACCCGCGTCCCGCGATCCTAAAGCGGGCCAGTTTGTTTTAAGAAAAACTAGTGATCATGGAGAAATGATCACGGAAAGATTGGGAATGGCGTAGTCAAGGCCAAGAAAACGGACCAAAAGACTTAGCCAGAAAGAACGCGAAAGAACGTTCGAGCTAAACCAGCTAGGTGAGCTGGACAAGCTGGATGAACTAGCTAGCTCAGTTAGGTGAGCTAAACCAGCTGCATGACTAGCTAGCTCAGCTAGGTGAGCTGACCGACAGCTCAACCGAGCTCGGTGAACTGATCGAGTACTAACCCAGCTGGGTGGTCCGGTCAGCTGACACTCGAGCTGGTGGACTGTGGTAGCTCGGGATGAAGAGGTGTAAGGTCGATCGGTTACAGACGAATGGTTACCGTTGGCCAAAGGGTGGATAAGGCCGAACGGTTACGATCGGAAAGACGCAACCTTTCGAAAGGGTGCAATGAATGGATGTGATGTTTCGGAAACACACCCATTCGGCCCCTATATAAGGGAGGACGTCCAAGGGCCTCACAATCATCCACATACACTTCACAATCACCATCACAACCCAAACGGGGTCCCAAAACACTCTACGAAGTGTTGGTCGGAAAGGGGGTGCAGCTCGGCGAGTATCTCCGGAATCGGAATAGATTCTCGGAGCCACGACCGAACTGATGCGCATGCTATCTCCCGATCCAACGGTTCGATAGAATGTATTAAGGGATGGATGGGATAGACCGATCGTCTTAGAGACGGATCAGCGGACGGATCGGATCGGACAGACCGATCGTCGGACAGATCAGATCGGATAGACCGATCGTCGTACGGATCGGATCGGACAGACCGATCGTTGGACGGAAGGATCGGATCGGAGAAGAAGACGGATTCGGATAGACCGTTGCACAGACGGATCGACCAACCGGGATAGGCGGATCGATCGTCATGTCAACAGGTCGGGTTGACGTATAACCGGATCTGTTTACGATCGGATAAACGGACCAAGGCTTAGATCGGCGGATTGATCGGTCGTATAGATCGGCGGGATGACCGACAATACGTATCGGAGATCTGGTCGAGGGAACATGGTGGATTACTCGATCGAGGATTCGATGAGAACCGCTGGAGGGTTCGACGACTTGATTGATGGTTCGGTTCGATAGCTCGATTATGGGGTCGATGGATCGTCCGTTCTATAAGTCATATCGTCGAGGGAAGGACACAAAAAGGAAATGGATCGGAAAATCTAATATTGTCAATATGGAAGTATCGACGGATCTAACGATAGACCGATAGATGATATGGTTAACGAGAAGTTAATCGGGAAGGCGTATAAGGGAAAGGTGTTCGAAGAAGCACGAGGATAAGTGCAACCGAACACACCCAAGGGTCGCCCATGGATGCAATCTCACCGGTAAAGGGAGTAAGCACCGAGAATGGGTAGGTGATGTGGTTCACCATGTAAGGATCTAATATCGCGGCCGCCTTCATGTATCAATCGCCATGGCCAATGGTGAAACCGATTGGGAATCGGTAACACTAATGGTGACTCGACGGATAACCAACGGGAAAGTCCACGGTGAGAATCGGTGGACAAAACGGATGTTGGACCCGCGAGCAAACCAAAGGTCGATGGACGAATGATTTCATGGGCTAGCCTACGATAATCCGATGGATGAATCCACGGACCCTTGGGTGTGATAATGATATTGTTTGGATCACATGGATGGATCGATAAGCTGAAGGCTTTATCGACCACCATGGACCGGACGGGTAAATGGTTAATAAACCGTCGGCGGTTGTAGTGATAAACGACTGGATCGGAAACATGGATGGTTCGTTAAGCCGAGGGCTTGATCGTCCACCATGAAACCGAAGGGGCGTACGTTTGGAGGACGGATGGACCAATGAGCCAAGAGCTTGATTCGGCCACCGTGAACCAAGAGAAACGTACGATCCCCAATCTCTTTCGTGGGACTTAGACCAGTGGGGTTGGTTGGATGTATGGCTAAGTAACGATAGAGATTGGTCCATCAATACACGATTGGTTAAGAATCGTTGTACGAATGGAATAAGGCGACGAGAGGGCTAAGAGAAGGATCAATAGACGGATCGAAGAGGAATCAAATCCGCTTGTAGGCCAAGGTATGTAAACGCATCTAACTTATTAGTTAAGATAGACGTTTGGGAATTGGCCGTTAGATTAGGGATACAAAGAATATGCAATTGTTAGACTTATAATGGTTAGCGAACAAATGGCATGTCTTGGCCGAGTTAATGATTGATCTAAAGTCTAAGGGACAGAGACGATCAAACCGGTACAAGGGATGGTTGGAATTAGACCAAAGGTATAAAGACTTCCGCTGTGTTAAGAGATAAGGATTATAGAATTAAGCCTCGTAAAGGCAATTCTATGTTAAATCGTGGAAAATATGGAGGTTCGGCCGGGAAGTGGCGCGAACGTGAACCTTGGGTCGCCGGACGCCGAGACGTCCGGGACGGGGTCTCACAGCTGTCTTATCCTTGTAGATGGGAGCCTCGTTACGACTCCTTTTCTCCTTCCTACGGCCTCCCGAGCTATCACCTCGGGGCCTCTTACCCTTCGCCTTAGTCTTCGCCTCGGCACCCAGAGCAACAATAGCCGAGGTCCCTGCCGCCTCGAGGACTTCTGTCGACAAAACATCAACAGAGGCCTCAGCCCCAACCAGAGTCGTGTCTTCCCGAGCTTCGTCGATTGCCTCGGTATCAACAGCGACCTCGGAGTCATTCCTGACTTCGGGGGGAGTAGGCGGTTTGAAGTTCGCCTCCAGTATCGCCCTTTCCCGAGCCGCCTTCCTCTCGGCAGCCTTCTTCGCTCTCAAAGATTGCGCGGCACCCTGCATCTCGATAAGGTGATCTAGGCGATGATCAGATGATTCTGAGGAGGATTGGCAAGGAGTTCCGTGCAACAAACGTAAGGCCCTCTCAATTCTATCTCGGGAGAAATGTTTCGTCCAATCACACTTCCGAGCTATCAATTCGTCGTGAAGATATAGAAAGCCCTCGGGAATGTCTTCAAGAAATGACGGGTTTCGATCTGCATGAACAAGAAAATGGTCAGTAAAAAGTTTAAGATAAAACAGAACGGCAAATACGACTTCGGATATAAATACCGATTTTTCTCCACTTTCCAACGACTTTCCCTAAGTAGTCCTCGTGGACACTATACTCATCCAAGACTATGTAGAAGATGTGGTCGGTATATTTCTCATCTTTGCTCGGGAACCCGCTGATAACCCTCCTATTCGGCCTCGGAGAGATGTAAAACCTCTCAACAGGACCCGGTATGCGCCGGATTTCTAACAGATTCCTTAGGTGGCTAAGGTCGACAATGTTGACCGTCTCAATACTCCGGACCAGAATTCCTACAAGATGGCGCAAGCCTCGGGTTGTGATCTGAGACAAAGCGATCTTGTACGACCATAGAAACGCCAATATAGGCCTCGGAATCGGAAGCCAGAGGTAGCAGTGGTAGAAGAACCCCTCATAAAGGGTGAAAAACCCCTCGGGCGGATCATCTGCTCGCTCATTCGGAGTTGGAAGTCTTAGTTCAACCCCTTCGCTAAAACCGAACCGGGCCTTAAGATCACGAAGGGAATCCTCCGTGCATAAGGTGGAGCCCGGGGGATCGGGTTTCCTCGCTTTCTTGGCTCGTCTTCTCTTCTGGTGACCCTTGGCTGCTTGAACTTTAGCTTGAAGCAACCTGGCCGCCTCGTCAGAATCATAGTGAACCTCCTCGGCCTTAATAGAAAGTAGAGGCGCCTCGGGTGCATTTTGCCAGCACGAGACTCCAGCTTCACCGACTGCCAGTGGATGGACCCCCCTCCTACTTAACATCACCTGATCCCGAGCTACATCTGCAATCGTGTCTTCCCGAGCAATAAAACGGCTCGGGTCTTCTTCCCGTGAGGCCGACTCTGCATCACTACCACGGTACAGCTCGATCTGACGATCCGAGACGTTCGCCTCGGAATCACTCGAAGAACTCCAAACCATTTTTCTCTTATAAACAGGGAGAAGTTTATCGCCTCGGGACGAACCACTAGAATCAGAGAGAGACATCTGGCTCGGATGAATTGGGAGAGTTTGATTGGAAGAAACAAGACTTGGACATCGGAGAAGTCAAAACTAAGATCTAAAACGGCGGCGCTACGACGGAAGTAGAACGGAAAAAGTAGAAAATGGAAAAAATCAAGATCAGAGAGAGAAGAGAACGAACCTTGAAAATTTTCCTTTGCAGTTGCGAAATGAGAGAACAAGTCGGAAACTTAACATTTATAGGGATTTAGGGCGCGTCGGGTTCGTACGAGCCGAATAAAACACATCGTGTCTGCATCTAAGGCGCGTCGGGCACGCGCGAATTGAATAGGATACTTCACATCCGCATGAATCTCGGGAATCAGCGAAGGACCTTTTCACTTTTCGAGAAGGAACCCCAACCGTCACACGCCAAGAGAAGATGAAACGACAGAGGAATTCGAATCGCCAAAAACTTTAAAGGGACCGAACTATCCGAAGTAAACGGCTCGGCCCAATTGTCATAAAGCTCATCACGCTTGGTTCTCCAAACTAACAAGCTGGGGGGCTAACTGTTGGGGTCGGATTCCATCCTTTGGCGCCGAGCCAGACTTAGAGCACCTCGGAAGTTTTTCAGAGATCACTTCGGGGCATCGCATCATCCATCTCGGGTTATCCATCCAATAGGTTTAGGGTACCCGAGCCCACCGCCTCGGGGGTACCCGAACAAGTCATCTCGGAGTACCCGAGCCCAATCGCCTCAGGGTACCCGAGCCCATCGCCTCGGGGGTACCCGAACAAGTCATCTCAGAGTACCCGAGACCAATCGCCTCGGGGTACCCGAGCCCATCGCCTCGGGGGTACCCGAACAAGTCATCTCGGAGTACCCGAGCTAGTCCGTCCTGGGTACCCGAGCCGATTGCACAAGTTCTCCGAGGCGAAGTCTTCATCATCACCCGAGGCAAAGACTTAGTAAATATTCGTCGTTAAAGTATCATTTCCAAGCAAGGCGTCATTTCCGAAAAGGAAGGATCATTTCCGATAGACCCGGAAATGATAAGGAAGAATCTCGAAGGATCAACTCAAATCAGGAAATCTTCCAAGAAACTCCGAAGAATAAAGAAACTATCCTAAATCCGCGATATTATAAGCCGACTTCAAGATAAAAGGAAATCTTCCGAGAATATCGCTGGAGAGGCGGTTTACCATCCCTATATATAGAGACTCAAGGCTCTCACAGAAGGGGAGGCAAGATCGCTCTAGAATTTACATGACAAAAGCTCTTACAGCACAAACACCTTTTTCCTTTTACGATCAAACTCTTGTACGATCAAAACTGCTCTTTTCATCAATAAGATTAAGAACACCATCTTTGGTTACAATTGTTTCTGTTGTTCTTTGAGAATTCACGCTTATCGTATCCCTAAAAGAAAGCCCTAGAAAAATCTCGATTGTGTTAGTTTCGACTTCCATAGACACTACAAAAACAAAAACAGAAAATGGTATTTACAATGATGGTTGGGTGTGGTACCTCAGTTGAAGGTCCTGGAGATGTAGTCGTCCATCTCCTCTCTAGTGTATTCCCATGGAATGTTGGGACCTTGTTGTTGCTCTTCCTCCTTAGGTGCAAGGTACTCGATCTCAGGGCCGGCTTGGCGGTTAGTGCGGCGGTTGAGTGGTCGCCTGGCATTAAGGAGCCTCGCCTTGCTGCCGGAGCGAACCAGTGCTTGCTTCCTTCTTCTCCTGTGCTCTCTAGGTTCGTGAGAAGAATGTCTTGCTGGTGCCTGGGAAGTGTCTGCTTCCCTTGGTTCATAGGTGGATTGCCTGGGCACTTCGTAACATCTTGAACCGGTTCATAGGTTGAGTTTCTTGGTGCATCTGAATCATAACGTCTGGAGGGTATATCTTCAGGGAGGTCTGCTCTTGTTGCTGTAGTGCTAGAAGAGGAGCGGTTCAACTTCTTCTGTATAGATGTGACCATCTTGTAGCACTTACCAATGAACTTGTCCTTGAACTTTCACCAGGCTTGGAGCTTGCTGAGCTTCTCAAGACTCTTAGTGAGGCTCTTGCTCTGTCTTGATGGCGGTTTGTGCTCTGCGAAATGGAACCTCCGGGTGTTGTATTCCTCTATATCCAGGTCCTCTTCTTCTTCCTCAGCTTCGTCTTCTTCTTCTTTAACTCCTTCTTCTTCAGCAGGTTGAACAACTTCGTTCACGCCATAGAGTATCTCAACAGGTGGTTTGAAGTCAATGTTGTCTCTGTCCTTGATCTTTGTGAATGCCTGGTGAGGGAGGAGAAATTTCGCTCCTTCTGCTTCTAGAAGATCAAATATCCAGGCATACCTTCCATCCAGCATCTCGCAATCCAATGAGGTAGTCTTCCTCAAGTATTCGATGTCGACCCACTTGGGAAAGATCTCTTCTGACTCTAAAGGTACTCCACATACCAACAATATAGGTGTTATCAGCCCACCCATGAAAAATTTTCCTTTAGAATTCTTCTTGGCATTCGTCACCGCCCACGCCTTGTAGCTTCACAGGTGGCTGAGCAAGAAGAAGACGGCAGAAGAGTTTGACTTGTCACCCACCAACACGGTATTGTCTTTTGTTACACCAAGGGTTTCCTGCAGTGCCATCACCATCACTTCCATCTCCCCGCTGATGATAGTACCGGTTATCTCCCTTGCAAAGAGAACGCTGGATAGGATGCGGTGGAAGTAGTGAAGGACTGGGCTCCTAATGGTGTTGCTCTTGGAGCGGGCAGAGAAGAACTTGACATCATCTCCAATTGTCTCCTGTTGGGGTCGGATTTCATCCCTTAGCACCGAGCCAAACTTTGGAGCTTTTGAAGATACCTCGGGGAAGTATATCAATCACCTCGGTGCAGCAAGCCATTCACCTCGGTGTAGAAAGTCACTCGCCTCGGGGCAACGTGCCAGGCCCCTCGGGAAACGCCTACCTCAGGATCCATAGGCAAGCTCGGAAACCCGAACCGGCTCTTCGAGTGCCCGAGCCGGTTCACGCCAGGACGCCCGAGCCGTTTCCTCCGTGTGACCGAGCCGATTTTCCTCGGAAGCCCGAGCCGCGCCTCTCTTATCTCCGAGCCAAACACTAATCAGCTTCTGAATTACCCGAGGAGAGAACGTGATACACCCGAGGCAAAGACTTAGTAAATATTCATCGTCAAAGTACCACTTCCAAGCAAGGCACCATTTCCGAAAAAGAAGGATCATTTCCGATATACCCAGAAATGATAAGGAAGAATCTCGAAGGATCGACTCAAATCAGGAAGTCTTCCAAAACACTCCGAAGAATAAGGAAATTATCCTAATCCGCGATATTCTAGCCGACTTCAAGATAAATGGAAATCTTCCGAGAATATCGCTGGAGAGGCGGTTTATCACCCCTATATAAAGAGATTCAAGGCTCTCGTAGAAGGGAGGCGACATGACTCTAGAATTTATACTACACAAAGCTCTTACGGCACAAACACCTTTTTCTTTTACGATCAAACTCTTATACGATCAAAACTACTCTCTTCATCAATAAGATCAAGAACACCATCTTTGGTTACAATTGTTTCTGTTGTTCTTTGAGAATTCACGCTTATCGTATCCCTAAAATAAAACCCTAGAAAAATCTTGATTGTGTTAGTTTCGACTTCCACAGTTTGGCGCCGTCTGTGGGGATACTTTAGAATTCTCTTACCCTAAGACGCAGAACTCGATTACCGAAGAACGATGAACGAAGACGATCGCCAGATACCACCAGCCGGAGGAAACCCTAACCCTCCGAACCCTCAGAATCCTCAGGCCGATCCGACAATC